CCACTTCAACGGCTGATGGTCACTCTTTACAATCACTGTATGACCATCAATATAGGGTCGATACTTCTCAACTGCCCAAACCACAGCCAAGGCTTCACGTTCAGTCGTACTGTAACGGCGTTCTGCTGGTGTGAGCAGCCGGCTGGCATACTCAATGGGATGCTCGTCTTGTCCTTTGCACTGCATAAGGGTTGCTCCAAGAGCATAGTTGCTCGCATCGGTCCGCAGAATAAATTCCTTGCTGTAGTCAACTTGCACCAGAATCGGAGCAGAAGCTAACCTGGCTTTAAGTTCCTTAAAAGCCTCTTGTTGTTCCTCTTGCCATTTCCATGGTTCATTTTTCTTAGTTAGCTTGGTAAGCGGTTGAGCTATCGCTGAGAAATTTGGAACAAATTTTCTAAACCAAGCGCAGGTTTGTAGAAATGTTCTGAGATGCTTGAGGTTAGTTGGCTCTTTCATGGCTATGATGGCTTCAACCTTCCCGTTATCCGGCTTGATACCTTCAGGTGTGATGAGGTGACCGAGATATTTGACCTCTTTACATGCAAAAACACATTTGTCTCGGTTGGCTCTCAATCCAAACTTTAGAAGACGGTCAAATACCAGTTGCAGGTCTTCCAGGTGTTTCTCGAAATTGTCGGATATGACCAATATATCATCCAGGTATGCCAGGACAGTAGTATTCTGCAGGCTGGAACCAGATTTAAACTTATCCATCAACCGCTGGAAGGTGGCCGGGGCATTCTTTAAGCCAAATGGCATTCTTACAAATCGATACGTAGCAAAAGGAGTGATTACAGCAGTTTTATCCCGGTCAGCTGCATTAACACCAACTTGCCAGTATCCAGATCTTAAATCAATAGTACTTATGTAGCAGTGCTTTCCGGTTGACTGTAGCAGCTCATCAATTAGAGGTAAGGGATAATTATCTGTCTTTGTGATGCTGTTCAGCTTTCTATAATCTACACAAAATCTGACAGTATTATTTTTCTTTGGTACTAGAACCGCTGGAGACGTCCAAGCAGATTCACATTCCTCTATTATTCCATCCCGGAGCATCTTGTCAATTTCTGCCTTCATGATTTCTTTCTTTGCAGGTGTGAGTCGGTAAGTCGGTAAGGAGGTACAGATATAGGTGCGTGTTCTCCTGTGTCTATATGGTGTTCAACAATTGGAGTGGGCGCTCCCCCTAGACTGAAAACTGCACTATTCCTCTCTAATACTTCGGCTAATCTCATCTTTTCATTTACATTCAACATATATCCTTCCTCTGCATTAAGTATGTTGCTTGCAGCAATTGATATTTGGGATGGCACATTAGATTCAAATTGCATAGGGTATTTTTCACCTCCAGGAAAGCACCAAGTCAAGTGATAGAAGTCCAGGTCAAGTCGAGATGCTTTCATAAAATCTATTCCCAATAAAGAATCATTTTCTTCAGCATCCGGTAAGATCATAAACTCCTGAGGTATTACTCTATTCTTTACTTTGACATCTAAGGAGATTGTGAGTACCTTTTTAATTTGAGATAAACCGTCAGCTAATTTTACTCTCACTTGTCTCTCGCAGAACTGTTGATTGTTCTCCAGTAAGAGTGAGTAAAGTTTCTGACTTGCAAGGCTTCTCTTGGCAGCTGTATCAAGTAGTGCTCTTCCTCTTACGTTGAGAATTTCAATTCCTATGATTGGCCGCTGATGTCTGTTCATATAATTTTCAAAAGAATCAAATAATTCCAATGCAGCATACTCAGAGTTATTTGCTGAATTACTATTGTTCAGGGCTCCATGCGCAGGCTTCTGGAGATCCTCAACCTCTTGGCTGGTTCCTAATAAATCCAAAGATGAAAATATAATATCCTCACAAGGCATGATTACACACTACTGGGTATACCTATACTATGACACTTAGTCAATATACTGTTATTAGATATACTGTGGCCTTTGTTATCACTGTTATCAACAGCTGATGTCAACCTAGGTTTAGTGTCCATGACTAGTTCTGGCAACAAGAATGTGTTACTATTACATTCTGACATAGTACAACATGCCATTTCTTTACTATAGGGATCAATTACATGAACTTGATTAACCTTAACACTCTTATCAGTTAAAAAATTTGGAATTAATGTATAATTTGACATGGTACAACATGACATTTTCTTATTATAGGGATCAATTACTTGAAATTGATTATTATTAACACTCTTATCAGTTAAAGAATTTGCAATTAATGTATAATTTGACATGGTACAACATGACATTTTCTTATTATAGGGATCAATTACTTGAAATTTATTATCATTAACACTTTTATCAATTAAAGAATTTGCAATTAATGTATAATTTGACCTGGTACAGCATGACATTTTCTTATTATAGGGATTTTCTGAATGAATTTCTTGAAATTTATTATCATTAACACTCTTATCAGTTAAAGAATTTTGACTTTTACATTTATCACCGGGGAAAACTGCTTACCCGCGTCCTTTGACCCTTGGGCGGACGAATCTATGCTGCAATTGATAGAACAGAATGTAGCATTACACTTATCGCAATTTGCGCGTAAAACACCTTTCTGCCCACATCCATAACAATGCACAACCTTTACATCTGTTGCGTTATTACTATTATCATTAGACTTACACCTAGAGTCTTTAGGTAATTTACGACATTCTTCTATCATGTGGCCGAAACGTTTACAATAACCGCACTTCTTACTATACGATTTAGTTTTCGCAGTGGAGGCGGAGACGGACGCAGTCGCGGTGTAGTGATCATCGACTCGAGGCGGCGGCGGTGGCGCGCGGTGCACGCGAGGCGGCGGCGCGGGCGCCCCCATTGTGGCGCCGGCGCGCAGCGTCTTCAACACGGCGGCGGGACGACTCGACGAGGCGTTATTCACGCACACTTCACTTAGTGACTCTTCCACGGCGCGCGTCTTTTGTAATAGTATTTTAAATGATGCGCAGTCTTCTCTCTTGACACGTTTTCTAATTCTTTTGTGTAGGAGCCCATACACCATATCAAGTTGGATCTTTTCAGAAATCTCGTTCCGCGGCAATTTTGCTAAAAGCGCTCTACACTTCGCAACGTAAATATGGGTGTGTTTTCTTCGCCTTGTGGTTCAGAAAATAAGTCGCGGTAAATACGCGACGGAGCTCGACTATCGCCGTAGGTATGACGTAGGCTGTCTATAACTTCGGCCCATGAAGTAATTTCAGGTTTAATTCCTTGCCACCAATCTGCAGCTGAATGTGTTAGTAACATTGATAACCCACGAATGGCGTTTTCGTCTGAGATGTTTGCACAGTCTTTGTATGCTTCGATAGCGTCAATAAATCCTTCAATGGACTCGTCCGTATTTCCAGCGAATCGAGCTTTGCAGCGGGAAAAGTTTCCTCCTTCTAATGGTATCGGTGTCGAAGTAGACGACGCGTGCCTGGTGGTAGTGATGACGCTTTCCAGCAGCTCCTTGAAGGCGTTGGTCTGCGATCGTTGGAGTGACTCCACTAATGACGCAATGTCGTCCCTGGAGAAGGAGCCTTCTCTGGCCGACGCGAACTCTTCTCGCGACGGCGACGACACACGACGATTCCTTTTTGGCGGCATTTTATATAACCGCAGCGACTCTCGACACAAAAGTTCACTTTTTTTTCACTATAGCCTCACGCGTGGGCAGCCATTTTGTAGCGACGGCTAACTCTATTGGGTTCTATCTGCACTAGGCTATGTGAAGTGAAATACCACTGGTTATAGTAATAATAGTTTATTCTCGTAAGTAGTTGCACAATTAGAGTTCACTTGAGATACTTATAAGAATATAAACTAGTTCTATGTTAGGTATACAATTACAGTCTATTAGCATACTAACTATATCGCGTCGGTTGTCGAACTGCGCGGGAGCGGCGGGAACGTATTTTCAATCGGTCGCTCCCGCGTGGCGCGTCATGACTTTGAGCCGCGATTGGCTCTTGCGTTGCCGCCCGGGATTCGTCCAATCCGCGAGTACTATTAAGCCCGAGCGACTTTTGAAAAGGGCGCGTTACATATTTATATAATTTTTATTGTCATACTACTAATCTCTGCATTTAAAATGAAACATTAAAATTTGCAGAAAAAATTTACAAATATTATAAATATAGTACAATGCGTTAAAATTAAAACGCGAAGGTACTTTGAACTTAGTTTAGGCAATTCTTTATTTATGTGTTGTTATCAAAAAATGATAAGTTTATTCACAGCCGATATATATCTCCCTTTTTCCATTTATTGCGTGCTGGAGGGTGCAGGGGACAGGTGGTAGAGGCGGAGGCGAGGGTGGTAGAGGCAGAGCCACTCTCCTTGTCTTCTGCTACCGAGGAGGGGTCGCAGGGGAAGAGAAGTGTCGGTACCGCGTCTAGCCGCTCTCCTTATCGTCCGTGACTCGGCGGGGCTGCACCGCTGATACAGTGGTGGTGGAGCTGTAGGAGCAGAGGACTGTCGGTATTGCGATGCGCCGCTCTCCACATCTCGGCCTCCGCGGCCGAAACGTGGTGCGCGGCGGAGCGGTTTTGAATTTGAATTTAGCATTGGCTCTCCTGGCTCTCATGGCCTCTGATAAACGAATTCGGGGGAGTTCGTTGACCGTGAAAAAAGGGCCGGTTTGGAAGGCACGCTGAATGTTTCTGCGCGTCTTACCTGGAAAAGAGAGGAATTGCTCCCCAGGGGTCGATGGGGCTGCTGAGGCGGCTAGCACTGGCAGGATCGGGGAAGTTTGCGAAAGCGTTCCAGTGGCCCTGCCCGATATGCGTCTAGGTGGAACATTTACGTAAGAGTTTTAGTCGGTGCTATTCTGGCATAAATCGCTATTGCCCCTGCGAGGGCCTATATGCGTAGGATTTCCCCCACGTTAACCTAAAAAGGCTATTTAAAATAAACATTAAAACTTATTACTATTATGATAAAAATTCGCTATGAGTATGAAATTATATGCGCAAAATTGATGTGTGAAAACCTGTGCAAATGTGCGGGAAGTCGATGGATGCTGGTGGATCATGCGGTTTATGGCAGAATCGTACCGGGAAATTATTACCGGGAAGTAATCGTACGGGATTGCAGATGCGTTGCCGGCTCACTCACTAGGCGAAACGCAAAAGTATTACACTTCCACAGCCACTTCATGCCAGTCTTCTGTGTTCGCGGTAATTCCCCAACGGACCTGACCATTCTTACTACTGTGAAGACCGTTGCGTGGTCCTACCACAGTAAAAAGTTATAGACGTAACATATGTTTTTTTTACATTTCAGTAATAGGTTAAGTCAAATCCGTGCTGAAAGGCAAATCGCACAGCGCAGGGTTGCGGTGTTGTCGCCTACCGTCAAGAAAGAGCTGCTGCAGGAAAAAAAGATTATAAATTACAATTATTATTAATTTTGAATTCAAAATATCTAATAATAACTTATAACAAGTAAAATTTTGTAAATGACCAATAAAAATTACTCTGAAAAATATGTTGTTTAATTTTCAAACTTCGTTTGAACGATACCAATGGCTGTCATTTTCACTTTAACTACGCACGCAAGGTTGCATCTTATCTAGCGGGGAATAGCTTATTTATTCTAAGTTTTTCTTCATGATGGTAAATAAGTTTTAAAATGATTCTGGTATTATTGGAAAGGATATTTAATCTAGTCTATTTTAATATTGTTAAAAGGGATGTACAGTTAAAGGATTTTAGTCAAATAAATATTTTATTAAGAGATATCAGTTTTCATCACAGTTTTTCAAGTTAAACATATTTTTTAGAGTTGCTAATTAAAATTATAACTCTTCATTTTTAGATAATAAGATTACTTAGTTATTCAGCTTAGTAACTGTGATTATCGTTTTTTGGGATAGTATTTGTAGTTTGCGAACGGCAAGCGTTTTTATCGCCAAAGTCAGAAGGGGTATATTGACATTTTATTTCTTGCGCTGACGCTGGCGCCTCACACCGATTTGACAACGCGTGGCGCTGGCGTGTCAGTGGGTATTTGTAATAACGGATACCAAAGTTTTGTGTCATTCATTAATCACAACCTCTCTTTGAGTAAAAGTGTTCTGTGATCACTACTCACTACACTAGTCACTTTCAATATATATGTCTTATCTATGCTCACTTTCGACTTTGAGTTTGACGTTTAAATGTTTGTAAAATTGAAATTTGAAATCAGTCACACTTTCTTTGGTAATAATAAAGCAGCACATAATTAATTAGCAGTTAGCACAGCAACAGCACAAAACGAAAGATTAATCTTGTGGCGATACTATTTAAGAATCACGGTTAGCTATTAAGGGAGTTTTATAATAATTAGTAAAATGTCTGTCACTATTCATACCGATGTAGGGGATATAAAAATTGAATTATTTTGTGAACAATGCCCAAAAGCTTGCGAAAATTTTTTAGCGCTTTGTGCAAGCGATTATTACAATGGATGCTTATTTCATAGAAACATTAAGGTACAAGGTATTTAACCAATTATCTACTACGTTAATTTGTTTCCTTTATTCGAAAACTAAATTTAAGCTCTTATTTTAGGGTTTCATAGTTCAAACTGGAGATCCGACAGGCACAGGGAAAGGAGGTAATTCGATATGGGGTAAAAAATTTGATGATGAATTCCGAGAAGAGTTAAAAGTAAGTTTGGTAAAAATCTCCATTAACGTCCGGGAGTTTTCTATATTTCATACTGATAAATATTAAAATTGTGGCATAATTGACACAGAGTAAAATATTTTAAAACTAGTAATTGTTTTACACTGTATTATTTTTATAGCATAATACTAGAGGCATTGTAAGTATGGCAAATAATGGACCAAATACCAATGGAAGCCAATTTTTCTTTACCTATGGAGAACAACCTCATTTGGACCTCAAATATACAGTTTTTGGAAGGTATGTTGTCTTAATACACAGGTAGCTAATATTTAAATAAAAACTTAAAATAAGGTAAAAAAATATTTAAAATAAGCAAGTTTACCCATTACATTATTTTGTTGAGGTATGTATGTTAATTAGTGACAATCAATATTGTTATATTATTTCTATTACATTACATGTACTAAAGTGTTATAAATGTAATGTTCACTTAAAAATATTTAAAATTAGCGAATTTACCCAGTGCATTATTTTGTTAAGATAAGTTTGTGTTAATCACTGACAATTCATGTTATTTTATATTATTCCTATTACATTACATGTACTAAAGTGTTATAAATGTAATGTTCACTCAATTATTGTAAATTAATATAATTTTTATATCATATAATCTTATTAAGATAAAAATTCTAGTGGTAGGGCCACGCGGCAGCCTCGGCTGTTGCACGAATGGGCAGGCCCATCTGGGTAAGTACCACAATCTCATAGAAGACTGGCGTAAAGTGGAAGTATCACAAATACTTTCGCGTTTCGTCTGGTGTGTGAGGTAGCCGGAGCCCAACTTTCAAAAGGTTGTCAACGCATCTGTAACCCTCGGGTGTAGCAGATGTCCATGGGCAGCAGTATTCATTTACCATTAGGTGAACCGTCTGCTCGTTTGGCAACTTTTCATATAAAAAAAATGCATTGTTCATAATGAGTTTGAGAGGGATAATAACATGATGTTCTATTAATCATTAATGTAGTTGTCTTATAACATTGTCCTTTTTATTGCAGGATAATAGATGGATTTGAAGCTCTTGATGATTTAGAAAAGATGGCAGTGAATCCAAAAACATTTAAACCTCTAACAGAAGTCAGAATAACTTCAGTGACAATTCATGCCAATCCTATAGCTGGATAATAAAGATATAGAAATAATGTTCTGTAGTTTTTTTGTCCATACATCAAGACCTAATTTAATTTATTTTAATAGAGGTTTAGTCATTTACATTAAAAGAAACAAGTTACCAACATATTATTTAATGTGCATTTCACATTTTCTAACTCAATACATAAATTTTGGTGGGTAAGACTTATTTGTAATAAATTCTAATCATCATCAGACAAACTTAGCTACATATAATGAGATCTTTTCAATAAATTTAAGCAATTTTAACAATTATTTATCATCAAAGTTCCCTATTATGATGTTATTTAACATGGAATCTCAACATTTCAGTTATATACTCTTGTGTTAACATAGTTTACTTATTAAATTATGAGAATGGCATGAATAAACTAATCAGCCATGCCTCTTAAGATTTCAAGTTATAATAGTAAACTTATATTATATTCAAATTTTATGTCACATTCCAAATCTCATGTTTCTAGTTCATAAAAATTGTCATCTAACTGGAAATCGGAGTCTGCCTCTTTTTTTATTATTGTTGTGGTAAATTTATCATCAAAATTATCAGTAAAATGTGACTTTATATGTGAAACTAAATCTGCCTTCTTTTTGAATGTTGCACCACACTCTATGCATGGCATGTTCACAACCAAACACTCTTGAGTTTTTTCATGATTATCTAATTTATCTTTACTGTTAAATTTTTTATCACATTGGCTACATGAGAATGGTTTCATTCCCGAATGAAGTGTTGCATGGCGGTCTAATTCCCTTTTTCTAGGGAACTTTTTAAAACATATTTTACATTGGAAAACTCTGGACCCAATATGTGCTATTGACACATGAGTTTTGTATGCATCTAATGATGAGAATCTTTTTGGGCATTGGTGACATTTTATATTTTTGGGTTTGTTCTTATTACTTGATATTTTTGATTTATGTGGTGAGCCTTGTATTGATTTACATGTGGCGGTTGGATTTTTTCTAACTTGATTTATAAAACTACCCTCTCCAACTATGTGATCTGGCACTCTTGGATAATCATAATCTGCTAAAGAATTTTCATTATTAAGTTGTGTAGGAGATGACATTAGGTTACTAAAAGGATTCACATTAACAACCATGTCATGACTTTCCTGATCATTTTCAGATTCATGCATTTTGTGCTCTGAATTGATTTGCCCATGTTTTATTTCATGTTTTATCAGTTTGTCTCTACGTCCAAATGTTAAGGGACATTTACGGCAAGCATATGGTTTCATACCAGAGTGAACTAGTACATGACGTTGTAAATCACCTTTTGCAACAAAACTTCTAGGACACATTGGACACACATGTGGTTTATGTCCAGCATGGATTCTTAAATGTTTACTTAAGTTGGTATTCCGTGAAAAACTCTTAAGGCAATAATGACATTGAAAGGGTCGTATTCCAGTATGGACAACTGAATGCTTCCTTAAATCTGATCTTCTTCCAAAACATTTATCACATTCAGGACAGTGGTACGGCTTATCACTTCCATGCACATGTTTTGTGTGTTGAACATATTGGCTTCGCTCTGCAAACACCAAGCTACATTCAATGCATTTGTATGGTAAATTGGGATCATGATAACTTTGTTCATGCTCTTTACACTTCTCTTCAGAAACAAATGCTTGATCACAGTATTGACACATAGACACATTTTTAAAAAATGATTCAGACATTGGTTCACCTTCAGGGGTGTTATCGTGATCATGTGTTTCATTCTCAGGTTGCTCAATATTTTCTGATTCCTCAGAGGAATCATAATCAAGGCTCGGGTCTACAACCATAACAACACTATCTTCAACAATATATTCCTGTGCATTAGGTTTTTGTAGCTCATGATTATGATTATTTTTATAGTTGTAATTGCTAAAATCTGATGAATTTGAATTGTCCAACTCATTAACACGGTTTGTAATCTGTTTTAATCTTGCATCATTCTGGATGCACTGTAATCTGAACTTTGAACATTTATTTACTTTAAACAAACATTTATAACAAATCCTTCCAGGCAATCCATCATTAGGATCCATCTGCAACAAATTGAAAATTGTAACTTTTACTTGCCTTACTGTCTACGAAATAAGAAGCTTTAAGCTACTCATAAACAGTAGCTTTTACAATTTTCACTAACCTGCATTTCAAAACATTCAGCAATTTTAGAGGTTAGTGGCATACAGGAGTCTTCATCAGGAACAGCACCAAATATCGATATAGTAAGCGCACTTTTATTCAAGCAAAGTCGACAGAGTGTGTGAAAGTTGGCGATAATGAAGGAATCTTCCATTTTGAGCACAATCTGACATTGATGTAATATTTCTAATGTAATAAGTACTGACGTTTGATTATTATTAAGACTAGAGTATTTTTGAATTCGGAATTTATGGAGTGATATTTCACTTGTAAATGTACAATCTGATTGTTATTAAAAAGTTCTGACTCTATAGTTTCACTCAATGACTACGCAATCGTTCGACCCGTATCAACTGGGGCAATGCTCGGTAGGGCTGCGGTCCGCGCTAGAAGAGGAAAGTCGCGCACCCAGTGTCGACTGAAGTCGTCATCTAATTTCCAATAATAACCTAGGATCAATTTCATACAATCTTACACATACAACAATTATTTTCGGGTCTAATATTATTGTCATACCACAACAGTACTATGTACTTTGATTAATATAAATATTCAAATTTTGAATTTTAGTGGAACCGAGACCGCGCTAATTTCGCAGAAAAATATGTTGACTATGTTGTTCCTTATTGCAAAACATAAACTTTAACAGGAGTTTATTCAGCATTCATTGGTCTTTTGTAAGTGAGGCCATTAATTTTAACCAATTGGAATTTAGGAATACGTGCTAATGAAAACATAAATAAGGTGTTACTAGTCTAAAGCTTACGAATAATTTTTATTTAAAAATTATAAAAAAATTTATAGATAGGTAGTAAAGTTAAAAGTTATGAAATATTGACATCAGAATAAAGAAGGCAGATATTAGTGCAATTTGCCAAACTCTTCTGAATTTTTTTTAAGCATTCCTTATTAATTTATTATATTCATTGCGGTGAAGCTAAGGTTCGAATCGAAACTTTTTTTGAGTTTAGAGAATTGTATTTGCGCGTATGAATCCGGATCGCTCCAGGCTCAAATGCAGAAGGCGGTGCTCCTCGATACCGCCCGCATCGTCCGCCGGTTTCTCTCCCTTTCGCCCAAACCCTCGGCCGTTTGGTCTCCCCCGCCGAGGGCTTCCGTCTGGTTGGGTCCTATTTATATATGTATTATATAAAATATTTATTTATATATATATATATATATATATATATATATATATATGTTTATTTTTATCCATAATATTTATTTTATATATGCATATATATATCTATATCTTTATTTTTATTTTTATTTATAAACCCAACCAGACGAGAAAACAAATGAATATCCCCCCAATAATAATAATAATCTTTATTTAAATATCAAAGTTTTAGGTTACAAAAATTACAAGCACATTTGTGATAAGTAACATATTGAAATTAAAACAATCTATGATCTGAAAGGTTCTGACCTCCTAAGTAGGTCATTACATGACCTGTGTTTAGGAGACTCAGTTCAGAACACAGTAACTTAAGTTCAAATACCGATGCCTGTACCTGGGAAGTTGTTACATGCTGATTTAAGAGGTGTTGAAGTGTGTGACATGGAATTTAGGAAAAAATATGCGTATAAAAAGCTTTTAAAATTTGTAGAAAAAATGTGCGAAATGTCTATGCTTTAACCACTAAGCTAAACGGCACCACAACAACGAAAATCTCAACGTATTTTATCTACATTATTTTTTCGCATTATTTCTATCGCTACATCTCCTCTACAAATTTTAAGGTTGTCATTTTTAGTGCAGATTAGTACCTACTATAAAAGTCTAAATTTAAAAAGTAGTGTTAACTAAGTGAGCACCGGAAGACTTTCATCCGTCTTTAACCATTGATATTACCAAACAGGAAATTTTATGTCTACATAGAGGCAGAATGCCCGAAGTACAATCACTAGTTTCGCTGTATTTCACACCTAAGCATGTTGTGTCCACATTACATGTTTTCCCTTATATAACATCTTGACTTGAGTCCACATACTTAGTTAGCAAAATGCAATTAACTATTTGTTATATACGTTATATCACTATTAGTAACTTCAACGGCCAAGTGAAAGAAGAGCTTTAAAAATTTGTAAAGCTGATATATCATTTTGTTATCCTTCGAGACAACTCATCTTGTGTGTCTCAAATCCAAGGAGATTACATGAAATTCAGCATTAAATTATTTCTCAGCCGCCCTTGCAAATGTAACGTGCAGCAAAATATTGTTTTAATGAGTACAGGTGTAAGCTAGTTGGTGGTCCATCTGATGTGAACTGATAACCGCCGTCCATGGACCTTTGCAATACCAATAAACTGGCAACATAATACCTTTACCACGCAATGTCGGTGTAAAATAAAACTTAAAAACTCAACCACCTAATTTGTTTTTCCCATTTTTCTCTGAAAGTATTATATATCCATTCTGGCTTCTTAAATTTTAACAGGGCATCGGAAAATTCTTGGGCATGTAAACGGAGTTAACTGTCAACCGCAACTTAAGTTTTTGAGACCAGAGATAAGAACGGTTCTGTGAGGCATTTATTTCTTCGCTTTAGTTCTCTGAGTAATGAGAGGAAGGGTTTCGAAAATCTTTAGAGAAAACAACTGTGTCGTTCCCCATTGGACTTTCATCTCGGTATATGTACTATAGTGTTCTGTCAACGGCCTCTACGGGTGCTCAATCAAAATTCACTCTCAGTTTACTTTTTTACTTTACTTTAATGTCTATAACCTACAACTGACTCCAATATGCGAGATAATGAATGGCGTCTATGGCGAAATGAGTATCAGCATTCAGCACTAAGTCGTGTTTGGTTTTCATTAGATTGTTGAGATCAAATCGTTCTCATTC